TCATGACCTGAGCCAAGGTTGGATGCTTAACCAACTGAGCCACCAAGGTGCCCCTCATGCAATAAATTCTTAATGAGTCTCCTAACATTTGACCTTCTCCTTCAATCCTTTATAAAATGGAATATCTCACCTTGACATTTTTCCTCAAAGTCCTTCAACACTTGTATAAGAGTGTGAATACACTTAACATTACTGAACTGTACACTTAAAAGTGGTTAAGACAGTAAATTTTATGTGTTTTTACCATAATTAAAACACACACATGGCACAGAACGGTGCCTGCGACATGGGGAGGTAAAATCCTTCAGTGGCTCCCCATTACCTCCAGAATGAAATTTAATTTTCCTAGTTGGATAAAAGGCTCCTGACTTTACTGCCGCCTCTCTCTCCATTGTTCTCACATGCACACTGTGCTCTAACTGTAAAGAACCACTTGCATTCCACAGTCCTTCTCGTACATGCATTTCTAAATATGCCTTTCCTCTGTCTAGAATACTATTCCCATCCTTTATCCTTCTCTGCCTCCCTAAATAATTCTAGCTTAATCTTCTTTAATACTTAGCTCAGACTACCAGGAGGCTCTCCCAGACACCCTGGCCGGGTTGGTGACCCTCTTCCACAGCCTCTCAGGATCTGATGCTTACTCTGACTGCAGCATGGTATGGTAGTGCTGTACTGTTCTGCTTCTCTTACCGGACTTCGAGCTCTTTAAAGACAAGCTCTGTGTCTTTTATCTCTGTATATTCACCAGTTGGCATAATGCTGGACATCAAGGAGATACTTAAATATTTGTTAAATCAAATCAGACTATGTGTTGGAAAAAAGCAAATACAGAGAAGAGAAAAATAAGAAAAATAAAGCAAACAAGTAAAACCTTCCAGGATAAAACCAAAAACATAGGTTTCCAACCTTTGCTTGGCTGTGTGGACACAAGCAGTGGCTACCAGGGTGCCAAGCCAGGAGGCACACAACGGGTCAGTGCGAGCGAGCACTCGAGTTCACCACCCCAGGGGCGTGTTGGCTGTTGGAGGACTTACTGTGTGTGGATGAGTACGTGTTGCTTGAGGTCCTGCCTCCGCATGAACAACTTGTCGCAGTAATCACACTTGAGATTCTTCTCGCCCGTGTGGATAACCATGTGGGACTCAAGGTGAGCCTTTTGGGTGAAAGACTTGTCACACAAAGTACATCTGTAGTTCTTCTGACCTGCACATGAACCCAAATTGCCACACTGTGACTAACACAATCATTAGCACTCCCAAGATGAACAGGCACATGTATGGGCATGTGGCAGAGGCAGAAATGAAAGAACTGACTGGTAACTGGAACATCACTTTCTAGGGCTGTCTACCAAGAACCAGTCAGAGAATATGAACTTATATTCTGTGACTAAAGCCAGGGAAGCTAATAAATCTGACCTTCTAGGACCACTTACCTGGATGTATATAAATAATTTTTTACTGTTTATAGCTGACATGGGATATAAAATCTGAAAAAAAAAAACTACTTATAAGCCTAGAGACCAACCTAACTCAACTATGTTTAAAAAACCTCATGGGGGGGCGCCTGGGTGGCGCAGTCGGTAAAGCGTCCGACTTCAGCCAGGTCACGATCTCACGGTCCGTGAGTTCGAGCCCTGCATCAGGCTCTGGGCTGATGGCTCAGGGCCTGGAGCCTGTTTCCGATTCTGTGTCTCCCTCTCTCTCTGCCCCTCCCCCGTTCATGCTCTGTCTCTCTCTGTCCGAAAAATAAATTAAAAAAAACAAAAAACAAAACAAAAAAAAAACCTCATAGGGGCGCCTGGGTGGCGCAGTCGGTTAAGCGTCTGACTTCAGCCAGGTCACGATCTCGCGGTCCGTGAGTTCGAGCCCTGCGTCAGGCTCTGGGCTGATGGCTCAGAGCCTGGAGCCTGTTTCCGATTCTGTGTCTCCCTCTCTCTCTGCCCCTCCCCCGTTCATGCTCTGTCTCTCTCTGTCCCAAAAATAAATAAACGTTGAAAAAAAAAAAAAAAGAAAGAATTTTACTTTCAAAGATTTGGAGAACCAATGACTCAGACAAGAAAACTAAAACTTCACCAGATATTTTGTAGTATGTATTTTAAAAAGTGTTAAAACAAAGGGGTTGGTTTACATGGAATTTAGAAAACAGAACCTCAAAAAATAGAATTTGGCAGTGTTTACTGAGCAATATTCACAGGAGAGAAACTGGTTCTGGCTGGTGTCTAGGAGTGAGCTCTCATGAAGGCTCAGAGTGTTTCCTTAGAATTCCCTTTGCTTTAACGTCCAAACGCAGGGGCACCTGGGTGACTCAGTCGGTTAAGTGACTTCGGCTTAGGTCATGATCTCATAGTTGGTGAGTTTGAGCCCTGCGTTGAGCTCTGTGCTAACAGCTTGGAGCCTGGAGCCTGCTTTGGATTCTGGGTCTCCCCTCTCTCTCTGTGCTTCCCTGCTTGTGCACGGGTATGCTCTTTCTCTCTCAAAAATAAATAAACTTAAAAAAAAGTCCAGGGGCGCCTGGGTGGCTCAGTCGGTTAAGTGTCCGACTTCGGCTCAGGACATGATCTCACACTCCGTGAGTTCGAGCCCCGCGTCGGGCTCTGTGCTGACAGCTCAGAACCTGGAGCCTGCTTCAGATTCTGTGTCTCCCCCTCTCTCTGACCCTCCCCCGTTCATGCTCTGTCTCTCTCTGTCTCAAAAATAAACAAACATTAAAAAAAATTAAAAAAAAAAAAAGATAGCAAAAAAAAAAAAAAAAAGTCCAAACATGGATCACCTTTCTAATTCAGTACATTTTCCCAGTCACCTTCACACTATGGGGTGGGGAGGGGGGACCTGGAATGGGGAACCCTGTAATAACTGGAGGTAACACTCTCTGAGGAAGCACAATTATTCCACCCAGATTTATCACCCAATGAAGTCCTGCTGACAGCCAGCTGGATTCATTCTCTAATATCTCAATTCTATATCCGCAAGACTATCTTGTTGCAATTTCTTTACTACCGCAATTTCTAATTGTCGTGAAATTCCATTTTGATGGTCCAATATAACGTACCTGTATGTATCTTGAGGTGGGTCCGCAGGTTGCTAGGGTCACTAAAAGCCTTGCTACAGAAATCACACTTGTGGGGCTTCATACCCATGTGACCCATAAAGTGGACGTGAAGTTTGGAAGGAGAGATAAAAGCCTGGGGGCACATGGAGCACTTCCACTTCCTCTCCTTGCTGTGGCTTGGTCCATGGCTGCTGCTGTGGCCCTGGCTATGAAGATGGTTATGGATGTGGCTGGTAAGGTGAGCTTTGAACTCTGTATAGGAATTGCACTCCTTGCCACAGTTACAGAGGTGCACATCTGGGTGTTCAGGAACACCTTCAAAAAAAAAAAAAAATTACTCAATGTCTTCTCGTAGTTAAATCTTAAAACTCGTTCTGGGTATTAATAATGTTGCTTGCATTCTCCGTTCTACCAAAACTTCCACCTTGCCCATTACCTGTAAAACTAAAATGTCTTGTTCAATACTCCCAGCATCTCACAGAGCATGCCAGACACAAAGGAAGCACTTGGTAACACTGGATTATAATACATCTTTCCCAGGCAAAAAATTTTTTTTTGTTAAAAAAATTTTTTTAGTGGGGCGTCTGGGTGGCTCAGTGTGTTAAGCATCTGACTTCGGCTCAGGTCATGATCTCGCAGCTCGTGAGTTCAAGCCCCATGTCGTGCTCTGTGCTGACAGCTCAGAGCCTGGAGCCTTCAGATTCTGTGTCTCCCTCTCTCTTGTCCTCTCCCCCAATCGTACTCTGTCTCTCTCAAAAATAAACAAACATTAAAAAAATTTTTTTGGTAGTACAAACTTTTAAAGTTGTCATCATGACACAGGGCAAAGGAAAAGACTGTGAAGATTAAATCCATTAAAGGAGATTGTCTGTTTTTTATGAATTTAAATTACAATGATACCGGCTCAAAAAGCAGCCTCAGGAACTTCAAATACCCCAAATCAAAATCCTAACGCAAAAGTTCCTTTCATATGAATACTGCTTAATCAATAACATTCAGTTTATGAAGAACCTCACAGATTTTAACACTTCTAACATAGGGTAATATCCTACTTTTGTATATACAAACGTATGTAATTTGGTTCACCTAACATGTAAACCATTACCAAAACTACTTCTGGTCCTTGGTGTTTTTACCATGCTAGATTCAGGAGAAATAAGTCTTATCGTAACTTACCAATCTGCTGAGCATAATCCCGGCTGTAATAAAAAAGCAGTTCATTTTCAGGAGGGATATCTTGTGAAGTGCAGAAATAGATTTTTCCATCATGGGGATAAGCCACCAAATTCTGTTCTTCCCGGTTCCTAAGTTATCACATTTAATAGACCAAGCATATCAATTTTGAAATATATGCTAAACACATCACATCCCTAGAACAAAACTCTACATGAATACTTAGACATAACTATTTTCTTTAGGTTATTTTTCCAATTCCCTACCCTAGTGATTAGGAGGGACTCATATAGAAGTTCATATAGAAGTACACAAAATTCATACTTGTGTACATCAGCTGATTGCCCTTTATAGTCAGAAACACTAGAGAGTCTTTCACCAGAAGAAAAGTTAATAAAATGAAATATTAAGAGCATATGACAAAGACACAGAGATAGAGAACTGAACAAGAACTACAACAGCCTGAGGGTTGATTAATAGTGGATATAAAGAGAAGGTACCCACTTGCAAATTCAATGATAACTGTATCATTCCTTATTGTTTAAATAAACTAGTTTAAAAAAGGATAGTTTCTTGTGTTTTGACTTACAATTGCCATTAATCAGCAACTACTGGAGGAAAGAAGGTAAAAAGCCTTAGGTCTTAACATATGTTCAGACAGCAGTATAATCTGGACTGACTCTTCCCTATTTTATGCAAAGCTTCCTACTGAAAAACATTCAAATCGTAACTATTTCTTCATCCAGACTACTCTTACCTGGCTTTGCGCACAAACATCATCCAATTACATTCATTTTCATCAGTTGTAATGATGCAGAATTCTAGGACACCATTGTGGTATATCTGTCAACAGAAGGTAAACATACATATCAAATGAACTAACAGACAATACAAAGCGCTATTAAACTTAGGCTAGCAACAATCGCATTTACTCTGCAGATCTCAGCTTTCATAGTCAGTGTGGAAATCCATGGTTGCCTTCTCACACGTTTGTCATTCCACTAGTCCCCCGTTTGCAGCAACGTCATAAATACCATCAGAGACTGACAGTGCTCAAGGTACAGAATGACCTTGCTCTTGATTATTCACATTTTGGCTTGACTGGAAAACACAGAAACAGTCTACTTGTCTTCATCACCTACCATATGGTGGAGGTGGATCACTGAATGGACAAAAAGGTCAGAGAACCATCTCTTCTCATTCTTTTTCCACTGGACCTAGCGTTCTTCTGTGTTCTTTCTGGAAACCAAAATTCAAGTCCCCAGTGCCAGCAACACCATACCTTTCCACTGATCACACTTCCTCTCACTCCAATTCTACAGGCATCATTCCCAATCTATTGACTACAAGTGAATCTCTACAAACATGTTACAGGAATAGCTATTTATGTCAAAACCCTGCATTTCCAGCCCCTCCCATTAGAAAACTAGAGAAACGGTCTCAGCTTCCAATCCCAGAACTGTTTCTCAAGCTATTTGAGAAATGTTTTCGTTGATTACAAAATAAGACTTTCATCATATAAACAAAGTCCATGGCCTCAGCTGCCACAAGTAATTAGAATGAAGAATTACTGGATTATCTAACAAAAGAAAGACTAAAAACAGTTTATCTTCTAAACTCAATAGCTGGTATTTTGCTAAATATTATAATTTGGTTATAAAGAACAAAAAGGACATAATATTAAACAAATGACTGACAGGTGAATGGCACCGTATGAGTTTTGCCCAATTTTGACTTTTACTACGTCACTTCTACTGCTTTTACACTTTTAACTACATCACTGTAATAAAAACATCCAAAAGTCACAGAAGAACTTCATGAACGCTGACCTTCCATATATGGTTAACCGCCTTGTCTGTCCATTCTGCTACTTCCATGGAGTGACTCTGCTGGCCAATGAGAGGCCCAAAGCAAGTCCGCACAGGAATGGTTTCTCCAGTCCATACACCTAGCAGGGGAAAGACACCAACTACCCAGTCAATGATTTAAACATCTAATAGGATATACAAGAGAAAGTAGCTTAGCTCATGTAAAGAATCTTATCCTCAGTGAACCAGAACTAACTGATACTCCAGCACTCCTGTGAGGTAGCTAAGTTTTATGGGTTCTATCCTATAAATATGGAAAATGTAATCAACAGATTAAAGGGAACTCAGAAGAAATATGCAGAGTAAGAACCACTATCAGAAATTCCTAAACCCAGTTTTATACACAAGGAACCAAAACAAGTCCTTCCCAAATGACTAGAGAACATTACTTGATGATAAAAACATAGACCAATTACTGTAAGTCAAACTTATGAAATCATCTGTGCTTAAAGCACTGCTCTATATTATCTAAGCTTTTTAATGCTTTCAACTGACTCATACCCAAACTACAGCTGAAAAATAATGAACCTAGTTCGGTATTTTCAAACAAAAGGCACAGTAATTTAGAAACCATTTAAAATTTTTTTTTTTCAACGTTTTTATTTATTTTTGGGACAGAGAGAGACAGAGCATGAAGGGGGGAGGGGCAGAGAGAGAGGGAGACACAGAATCGGAAACAGGCTCCAGGCTCTGAGCCATCAGCCCAGAGCCTGACGCGGGGCTCGAACTCATGGACCGCGAGATCGTGACCTGGCTGAAGTCGGACACTTAACCGACTGCGCCACCCAGGCGCCCCAAAACCATTTTAAATTCAAATATGGGTAACCAAACTCTGGCAGTCTACACTTCTTATTCCTTTCTCCTAAGGAGTATTAGGAAATTTAAAAACACTGGATCTTTTTTTTGTGACAAAAGGTTATCAGTGGTGAATTTTCCATGTCTTAGAGAAGAAACTTAAGTTTTGAGGAGTGTTTTGTCATAATTGTTAGAGGATGATACAGTCAAGAATCAAAGTCTTCAGACTCAGGCCAAGACTTTCTCCTTTATTCAATTTTGATTCTAAGAAAGGGGAATTTTCTCAATAAAGTTTCAACTTGATTTATTGCTATTACTACACAAATGTTCCTAAAAGAATAATGCTTAAGCCATAAATTAACTTTTGATCAACCAAATAATGATGAAATTACACCTATCCACTTTTACAACTCTACACTACAGAGAAAGAAGAGAACTGATGGGCTTTGAGAGTTCCAAGGTTCTTACCAACTTCTGCTCCCACAACTGACTGGCGAAGAACAAGCTGCTTTGGGAGAGAAAGCCTCGCCCTGCTCTCTATTGGAGTGTCAGGAACAAAAGTCACTGGTCCGTGATCAGGGCAGTCTGAGGGATAAGCTCGGTCACAGAGCGTGCACCCTATGGATGGAAAATTTGAGAGACACAAACGGGGTTAGTTCAAGCAGCCTAAATTGCCATCTGCTTTTTAATTTAAATGCTAATTACTAAAACATAACCAATAAGAAGCAAAGTTCTAATAAAAATATTCTGATCAATCACTTTCTTACACTAAAATACATATCCCAGTCTTAGATCTCTCTCTGACAGGATCTGAATTTTTTTTTTTAATCCCACAGGACAATTTTACTATTCAGTCCATAAGAGACTGATTGAAAAGTAGATTACTTTTTACACTAGTAAAAGTAGATTACACTAGATTACTTCAAAAATGAATTACATTATTCCTTACATTAGGTAGATACCTTTACATATGATATCTAAAGTCCCAAGATTCCAACTCTACCCAACTATATGAGGACAGTGAGTTGAAATGCTGTCATGCAAGGCCAAAACAGAGAGGACAATACAGGTCAACAGAGTCAGAGACAGCGGCACCACTGTTCACTTTTCTTTCACTATCAACAAATTGGTCAACCAGATTTTTATAACAGATTCTTTTTTAAAAAAGGCGGGGGGCAAAAAATGCTCTTTGGGACGATAGGTAGAATCAGATTCTTGCAGACATGTTTGCTTAAAATTCTTAATTTCTTACTGTTCATACTGTCTTTCTTTTTGCATTGTCAGAAAGGGTGCTGCCTTTATATACTGATCTCTATGCTTACTGTAACTTCACTTCTACAAGTGTCATTCTCTGTAAATCTTCTTTTTTATTTCTGTTAAGGAAGAGCATACATGACCCCTTTTTGTCAATGATTATGTTCAAACTTTCCGTATTCATCCACAAATAGTTGGAATACATAAACCTTAGAACCATAGCCATCAAAGTGTCTTTCTCCTAAGCAATCATTACACATTTCCACTTATATGACATAAAATATCAAAGTTTTCATATTTAGGCAAAGCAGAGATAATATCTTACTTCAACTTGACTAAAAATTCCTTGAATATTAAAGATCCCCCACAGTTGGTGAGAACTGATTCTCCAATGCACTGAAGAATCCATGTTAAATCTCCAAATGAGATCAGATTTCATACCAGAAAAATGCTTAAAGGCTTCTCCGAAAATACACAAATGGCAAATAAGAACAGACAGAGGTTCAACATTGTTGTCACTGGGGAAATGCAAATCTAATCCACAATGACATGCCACCTCATAGCCACTAAGATGGCTATAACAGAAAGTGTTTAAAAGATGTGGAGAAATTAGAACACTCATACACTGATGTTGAGAACTGAAAATGGTGCAACTACTTCAGAAAACAGTCTGGCAATTTCTCAGAAAGTTAAACATAAAGCAATTCTACTCTTTTTTTTTTTTAATGTTTATTTATTTTTGAGAGACAGAGAGAGACAGAGTGTTGGGGGGGGAGGGGCCGAAAGAGAGAAAGACACAGAATCTGAAGAGGCTCCAGGCTCTGAGCTGTCAGCACAGAGCCTGATGAGGGGCTCGAACTCACAAGCCATGAGATCATGACCTGAGCCAAAGTCGGACGCTTAACTGACTGAGCCACCCAGGCATCCCAAAGCAATTCTACTCTTAAACATATATCTAAGAGACTTAAAAACATGTTCTTACAAAAACTTGCATATGAATATTCATAGCAGCATTATTCTTAATAGTCAAAAGTAGAAACTAAATGTTCGAGAATGAAAGGTAGATAAACAAAATGTGGTTATCACCACACAGTGGAGTAGTACTCAACCATAAAGAGGAATGGGGTACTGATCCATGCTACATGGACGAGCCAGGACATTATGCTAAGGGAAAGAAGCAAGACAAGGAAAGCCACAGGTTGTATGCTACCACTATATGAAGTGTCCAGAATAGGTGAATCTATAGAAAGATTAATGGATGCCTGAGAATGATGGCAGGGAAAGGAGGAGGGGTTAGAAGGGAAGGAATGATGAGTGACTGCTAGTGGGGTATCTGGGGTGATAAAATTGTTTTGGAATAAGATAGTGGTGCTGGTTCCACAACCTTGTCAATATACTAAAAGCCACTAAATTGTACAATTTAAAATGTATATGTGAATTAAAAAAAAACACATAGGAGCAAGAGGTTCTGCATACCCATATAAAAAAGGATCAATAGGCTTATTTAGGCTACCTCTTAACTTCTGCTAAGTTAATGAGCCTACATTCCTAAATTATTTCAAAATTATAAATTTCAGACTTTAAAAGGTTAACATAAAAGTCCTCCTCACTGCTTGGCTTCTGAGGCACCAGAAGCTCTGTCCTACTTTTCTGACCCTCCTGTTCAATCTACTTTGGAAGCTCTTCCTCTGCCATCGCATCTTAAAATCCCTAACCCTCTTATATGCCATACTCGCACTAGGAGCTAATTTCACTCCACTTCCATGGCTGTGATTAATGTCCTAATGCTGAGGATCCCTAAATATCTGCAGACAGATCTCTGTGTTCCAGATTAAAATTCTCACTAAACACCTCTACTGGGTATCTTATAGACACTAAAATCAACAGGTCTGAAACCAGACTCACCATCACTCCTCAAAAAAACAAACAAAAAATAGAAAACTACAATAAAAAACAACAGTCCTCCTCTGCCATTCATTATCCTAAGGAGTGGTACCACTACCCCCTAGTCTCCTGCCAGAAACCAGGGGTATCTCCTTAACCCTTCTCTCCCAACTTCTGTAAATATACCCCACTTTTCCTCACCATCATTCCTTCTATTTTAGGTTAGAAAATCACCTTTCACTTAAATTATGGCATCATCTCCTTTACCTGCTACTTGCCTCTAACAAACTAGCCCTCACCTTGCAGCAGAACCCCCATCCCAAACCTCACTCCTTCAGATCCTTGACTGGTCTTAGAAAACCCTTTGTGTTCTGGCTCCTACTTCTTTCTCATCACCCCCATTTTATGCTTCAGCAATTCTGAACCATGTAACATTCTCTTAGTTCTAGGCACTTATGGGTGGCAACTCCTGTCTGGGATGCTGTTCTTCCTGATCCTCTGCTGCCAACACCTTTGATGTCCTTTGAGTCTGTGCTAACACATACACAGTGTCCCCTGATAAGTCTTCCCTATTGCTTCCATGGCGTTGTTAGATGCCCACCTCAGGCTCCTTTAGACCTGGCACTTAACCCCACCTTCCCACTTATCATACCATATCTCGACAGCCCCTTTACTTGCCCACGCTTCCCATCAGATTATAAGCTCGTTAAAGGCAGCTGTCCTCTGCTGCAGACTGCTTTCTACCCCGTGTCTGGCACAGAGGCCGGCATATACTAAGCACTCAACATGTTTCCTGCATGAATGACGCATGTAATGACACCAACAAACCAACAGTTTTTCTATTGCTTTTTGTTATTCTTGACCCATAAAAAGAACTTTTACATGCCCAACTACAGTAATTTATACGCAATCTGAGCAAAAATAAAATTTGCATTTGTATCTACCTACTATTTCCATAGGGATAAAGAAGTACATGTGATCTAATAAATCTTATGTTGAAAAAGCACACAACCTGACACACAGAATACCTCAGAGAACACCTCACTACAGTTCTATAATTAACTCTATTTTTGAAACACAGGGATAGATCTTGATTACGGGGCTGAGTATCTGTAAAATACAGAAGGAAATGACTATGGTTTCATTACTTCAGGATACTGTAAGAACCAACAAAATGACTGTATGTCATCTGACTTACTTAAGAAAAAACCATTAACATAACGGACAATGCACAAAGAAAAATTCCAAAGTCTATTACTTTCTATACTCCCTTAATCAACACCTGACTTTGTGATTAAATCTGTTAGAGATGATAGCCCTTTCTACCAATATTTCCAAAAGAAAAAGGCTAAGCACACTCACAAATTGTAAACAAGGTTGCCATATTTTCCTTGTTTGAATTGGAGTCTTCCATTTGCAGTGAAGGTGGTACAAAAGAAAGACTGTCTGAAGATACATCTACATGACCTGTCCCCATAGCAACCTCCTGGGTGATGGAGGAGACAGCCACAGGTTCTAGGCTTAGGCCAACTTCATGGAGGGAAACAGATTCTAAGGAGGCGAGGTTGTGTGAGGTAGAGAGTGCCACGCTTACAGAGTTGGTGCTCATGGCCACGGTGTGGATGGAGTCACTGAGGGCACTGTCAGACATCCCGTTGACCCGACTTGCAATGTGGTCTGTCTCCATGACCACAGGGAGCTCCAGGCCATTCCCATGAATGGGTATCACACCACCATGTCCTACAGTGTCTGCTGCAAGGTTGTTGCTCACAGAATCTACAGACAGAGGTTCATGACTTCTGGAGCCATTTGGGATTTGGGCATGCTCGCCTGCAACTCCGTCCATTGTAAGTTCTTCTGCCATTCCATCTGTAGAGATTGGGCTGGTAACCCTAGAGACGTTCTCCATAGTGATTGTTGTGTCCAAGGCCACCTCATGGCCATCACTGGGATGAAGACTTTGGGCACCATGTGTGTTCACAGAGCGAGAGTCTATTGAAACAATGCCTGGTTCTAATCCAACATTTCCATTGGACTGATAGGGATCTAGAGCTGAAGCGTTATTGGCGATAGATAATGCTGTATTACCATCAACATTTATAGAGTTAGGGTGGATATACTGAGGTGGTGGTCTGTCAGCTAAATAAGATAAAATGCCTGAAAAAAGAAGAAGATGAGATTTTAGAGACTTTTTAGTACATTGTTAAATATAAGGAATTCCAAATCTTAGAAGCTACTTTCCTTAAAAATGTAACTAGGGGCGCCTGGGTGGCGCAGTCGGTTAAGCGTCCGGCTTCAGCCAGGTCACGATCTCGCGGTCCGTGAGTTCGAGCCCCGCGTCAGGCTCTGGGCTGATGGCTCAGAGCCTGGAGCCTGTTTCCAATTCTGTGTCTCCCTCTCTCTCTGCCCCTCCCCCGTTCATGCTCTGTCTCTCTCTATCCCAAAAATAAAATAAACGTTGAAAAAAAAAAATTTTAAAAAAAAAATGTAACTAAATCAATCTCTTATCTACTTCTTTGGTTTAATTAACATATATGCTTTATAAAAATAGCAACATAGGAGTGCCTGAATGGCTTAGTTGGTTAAGCATCTGACTCCTGATTTCAGCTCAGGTCAT